GAAGAACCAAACCACTCCACCTTCAACTTTTTCAAAGCCCACACGTACCATGGAGTTTTAAAAAAGTAAACCAAAACTGATATTTATATTTGCCTAAAGAACGTAGCTATCAACAAAGCTCATTTAAGACCTTAAACTTACAAGATTAAGACCTAAACTTAAGACCTAAACTTACAAGATTAGGTTAATTATCTTCACTGTAAAGTCAACAAAAGCAATCAAAGGAGGAAGTTCCATGGAAACGGTGTGCTTTGAGTGGGAAGAATAAGGTCTGGCTCGCTAAAACGCCACTGTATGCTCTAGCTCCCCCATCTGCAAAGCAGCCCCTCCATATAGAAACAATGTCAGCCACAGATCTGATCTGACCTTTTTCTAGAAGGAACACTTTAAAAAAAGTAAAGCGGTGCCTGGGTGGCTCAGTCATTAAGCATCCGCCTTCGGCTCAGGTCATGATCCCGGGGTCCTGGGATCGAGCCCCACATCGGGCTCCCTGCTCAGCGGGAAGCCTGCTTCTCCCTCTCCCGCTCCCCCTGCTTGTGTTCCCTCTCTCGCTGTGTCTCTCTCTGTCAAATAAATAAATAAAATCTTTAAAAAAATAAAAAAGGAAAAAAAAACAGGTAACGTGAATATAAAAAATGTTTTATTTAATAGCCAATAAGCATATGAAAAGATACTCAACGTCACTCATCATCAGGGAAACAAAAATCAAAACTACAATGAGAGATTAATTCACATGGATGATTACTATCAAAAGAGAAGAAAATGTTGGTAAGGATGTGGAGAAATTGGAACCCTTGTACACTGTTAGTGGGAATATAAATTGGTGCAACCACTAGGGAAAACAGTATGGAGGTTCCTCAGAAAATTAAAAATAGAACTACCCTATGATCCCGTCATTCCCAGACTACATATATATTCAAAAGAAATACATGAAAAAATAATGAAAGTGTGATTTTGAGGAAATGTTTGCACATATCTGAAAGAAATGAAAGTATAATCTATGAGATGTTTGCACACTCATAGCTAAGAGATGGAAGAACCCAAGTGTCCACTGACGGATGAATGAATTAAAAAAGTGTGTTACATAAATACAGCGGAATATTATTCAACTCTAAGAAGGAAGGAAAGGCTAATAATGAGAAGGATGAACCCTGACATTATGCTAAGTGAAAAAAACAGTCACGAAAAGATAAATACTGTCTAATTCCACTTACATGAGATATCTAGAACTGTCAAAATCATAGACTCAGATAAAATGAAGGTTGCCAGGAGCTGGGAGGAGGGGAAATGGGGAGTTGACATTTAATGGGTATAATGTTTCCGTTCTGGAAGACGAAAAGTTCTGGGAGTGGGGTGCACAACTCTGTGAATATGCTTAACACTACCGAAGTGTACACTTAGAAATGGTTAAGATGGTTAAATTTTAGGAATTTTTTTTTACTGCAATAAAAAAAATGTTTTTTATTTAACCCAATATATTCAAAACATCTCCACATATCATTAATACGAAAACGATACATTTTACATTCTTTTTTATGTACTAAGTCTTCAAACTTCCGTGTGAGCAGACACTAACAAGCACACCTCCATCTGGACTGGTTGCATCTTCAGTGCTCAGCACTTACCTGTGGCATCCCTACTGGGCTCGTGCCGAGCTAGACCTCACCCGTCACCCCCATGTGACAAACCTTAGAGTTAGATCCAAATAACTAAAAATATTTGGGGGGGGTGGGGTAGCACAGAGGGTCTTTCTCTTGCCACCAGACCTTTTTTGAAATCTTATTTGTCCTCGGTTGGCTCTATGAAAGACTGATGGGCAAGACGCGAAACTCTGACCTTCTGAGCGTCTCCTCTTTGTCAGACCCTCCTTAGGAGGGTCTAAGACACCGTGCCTCTCCTCAGAGGGCTCACAATCTAACAGGTGGGACAGACAATTACCAGCCCCAAGAGGCGTACGCCAAGATGTGGGGAAATACAAAGAACACAACTCCTACCTAGGAACTCTTACGTTCCAGGGGACAAATACAGTTTAAGTCATTTGACATGTGGAAGTTGTTAATTAACTAGCTTTCACCCTGTTCACAACACTCACCAGCACATTCTGACCTTTCTCAACTCTTATTTCCAACTGCAAGAACTACACGTTCAAAGTATGAGTTTGTGCAGAATTCAGTACAATTTGTATTAAAAACACATATGGCATAAGCACACTCACCAGAAAAGGCACTCAGAAACCTACACCTCTGTCAGTGATTTTTGACCAGAAGAATCGGTTATTCACTGAGAGCAAAGGTCAAGTTAATCCACCCAGGGTACAAGGAGACTAAAATGTGGTTCGTAAAAGTGAAAAAAACAAAAAACAAAACCGATGTTTCTCATGGAAAAATATAATATTGTTTGGACATATCCAGAAAAATAAGGGATATGGAGGAAAATATGAAGGCATTTCTAGTATAAACATCTACTTAACGTACATCCCAAACAAGAATTTACTTTCTCGTTAGAACAAAGATGCAAGAACAGAACTGCAAGATCCACTGCTTTCTATCCCAACTCACTGAGCAGAAACTATTTTGTGAGTGAAGAAGCAGAAGCCCCAGGCGAAGGAGCACCTCTTTATAACCTCCCATTTGTGTTGCCCTGGCTAAAACCAATCAGACTTCTTTGTGAAAAATATATTTTGCAATAAATTATCAAAAGTCTCACTGAAGATCTTAATGGATATGGTTGAGTAAGGAACACTGAACAGGACTAGAAAGAGAAAAGAACCAAAATTTATCAACTCAGCATATTTCAGTGGTCTTTAGGCATGGAACTATTAGAAGAATAACCAGGAAAAAAAGTTACAAACTACAAAGGTTGTCAATTTTATTCTACAGTTTAATAAAACTCCTATCTGACTAAGTCTTCTCCAGTCCCCCATTCATCCCCCACCCCAATAAGCAAATCTCCCCAGAACTTAATACTGAAAACTTACCTTGGTGCACTAATTTCAGATAAACTCCTTACACCTTATCATTTAATCCTGTGCATCAAAGTCTCAGTTATCATGCCCATCGACTATAAAGTCACACCTCGGGATCCATGACTTGACTTCACAGGTATAAACGTAACTTTGCTTAATAATTTAGATTGCGATCTCTAAAGCTTTACATCTGTCATCTTGAGTAACGGTGCTTACCTTATAATAAGCTCGCTAAACAGTATGTCACCATACATACCAACACACACACACACACACACACACACACACACACACTAGGTCACCCACTATTCTTGAGTAACAAGAAAAGAGAAACTGTTTCTGTGCATTAAGCCACCACCTGTAGAGGTAGATTCATAGGTCTGCAGGAAAAAACTATAAGGCTTCCAAAGGATCCTTAAAATACATAGGTTTTTAAAAATAAACACCATAAAGCCCTATTCCCTCACTGAGTAAGCAAGAATGCTATAGGTTCATATACTCAGAGTACTTACAATGGGCAGAAAAACATTTGCAAGCACCAACTTCTAAGGTTTAAATGAATTCAGGAGGGTAGTAATAGCTAAAGTAATAGTAGCAATAAAACCTCAAGCTCCTTTCCCTAAGGAGGGATCCCAATAAAGTCTATCTCAGTTTTTAGGAGAAGACACCTTGCCAACATGCATAGCAACTGGTGTTTCTGCCATCCCTCCTTGCTATTTCCCAGGTTTGCCCAACCTGACAAGTGACCAATCCTCTGAGGTTCTAACTCTGTAACATGGGGACAGACCCACAACTCTATGAAGGTTGAGACAGAGCCCCACGGTACCTGCAAATACAAGATTTGTCATTGTGTTCCAACAGTCAAGTGTCTAGTCTGAGGACTCCGTTTTAGTTAGCCTTTGGCAAAAGTGTGATCTACATTGTAAGGGAATCTATACTGGATCCTTAAGGAATAATGCTGCCAACTTATTTATACCTCATTAATGCAGGAAGGAAGGGCTTATCTGTCCAAATGGTAAGATTCTGGTGAATCCTGACCAAGATACTTTCCAATGGGGGGCAAGAGTGATCTGAATGAACACAACAACACAGACGTATTCCCTTACCAAGGACACCAGAACTGAACATGCTCAAAGTCACATGCTAGGGGCTCAAGGGTCAAATCTAGCAAGCAGATGTTTTTATATGGCTTGCACAGTGCTTTCAAAGTTCTAAATTAATTGTCAGTGTCAAAACATCTTTGATGCCGGGATCTTTGGCACCAAAATCTGCACTCTTGGGTTATCTTGCACTGTACCATAGGAAAACCTACCACTCTGAGACCACACAGCCACAGATGGTGGGGGGGGGCAGTCCTAATGCAGAAAGTGCAAATGCTCCCGAATCTGCCACAGTCCCCACCAGGTCAGCTCCCTCACTTTCCTGCCAGATTTTCCTGGTTCAGACCCTAAAACGGTCTTTGATCCCTGAAACAGATACCCACAATCTAATCTTATTAGTACCATATCCAAAACCTCTGAGCAAACAAAAAATCAGCCCAAAGAGGAATCTGAGTAGAAAACAACCCATTCTTCTGGTTCTCTATTGGTACTGCCTTGATGAACCAGATCACTTTCCAAAAAATCATTTTTGAAAACGATTAACTTGTCTCATCTTTCTTCACACATCTGGTTATGTTTTTAAGCTATTTGCTGTATTTGACTAAGTCCCCTTCAAGCACAGTATCATTGATAAGTAAGTCTTAGCGGTTAGAACAACACATACACTTTAATGAAGGCAGGCAGCAAGGATTCCAGCTTCACTGCTCAACAGGCCTATACTAGGTACATTTTATTGCTGCCACTAAACTTGGTAATGTAAAAAAAAATAATGTTGGTTTGATGTCTCACGTGACACATCCTCCATTCCCATGAAAATATGGACTACATCAGTAAAAGGATTCTAAAAGGGAGTTTAGTTTAAATGCTACACACAGCCTTTAAACAGATATTCAAACAACCACACATTAACTACCTCTTACCCAGGCATTGCTTACCCATTGCACTGAGGTAATGGTTGAAGGCCTGGCAAGGAGGACTTGGGGTTTGTGTTGATTTGTCACAACTCATGGGTGCCGGGCTCCTGTCTGTGTCAAAAGAGAAATACCCACTGGAGGATCGAGACAGCAGGGAGGATCTTCTCACAAAGATGAAAAGCGGGGATCTGGTAGCAAAAGGGCCGGGGCTGGCTGGTGGGGCCAGCGGGCCCTGAGGGCTGCCTTGGGGGCAGCGGTCCCCTTCGCCTTCAGGATTACCTTGCTGCTCTGTCTGTAGAGAGGTAGGGGCCCCAGGCCTGAGCTGAGGAGGCCTCTCAGCAGGCTGCAATTGTCCACCTTCTCTGTCACACTCAGAACTTACATCTGAAGGTTGCTTTGCCATTTGGTCTTTTTTTCTGCAAGTAAAATAAAAACTAAGATTATCTTCAGCAAAATAACAATTACAACAAATAACTAAATTTTGCCAACTTTCGCTGATTTCTTCACGATTTTTAGACTACCAAATACTTTAACACTAAATCGTTAGTTCATATATTTCTCTATCTTTCAAATAAGAATAAAAACACACCTCAAATAACAAAGGCACCTCTATCTTTGCGTGGAGGGGGGGAGGTGAAGGGGTGGGACTAAACTTCCTGCCACCAAACAAAACACAATCACAACGTCAATGTGAGACCGGCGCTGTAACACACACACACACAGAAAGTTTTTAGGAGAATTGTCTTGTGTTAAGTCTATTCCCATGTGCTCTTTGCTCAGAGCCGACTTGAAGAAGTCGGAAACTCCCAGCGGGCTCTGATTTCCCGGGATCAGATACGGCGCTGGAGCACAGGAGCGGGCGCAGATGCAGCGATTGCAGGCGGCTGGCCGCGTTCCCCACTCCGGCCCCATTGTTCTGCCGAAAGTGCTGAGGGCAGCAAGTCTGGGGAAGGTTTGGCAAGGGCCGTCGGTCGTAGTAAGTGCGTCACAATAGAGTTTGTAACTTGGAGCGCGGCTCGGCCGGGCTCGGGCGCTCCCCGCCCGCGGTCCCTCCCGCTCCCAGCCCGCGCGCCCCTCCTTCCGCAGGGGTTAGCGCGCCGCACCGAACCCGGCAGAACTTCGGAATGCACCCACACTGTGAGGTGCACACCTCCAAATGGGGGGGTCTCCCCAAAGCCGTCCCCGGGCGCCCCCTGCAAAGTCCCCAAGTAACTCCACACGCTGGGCGAAACCGGGGCGCGCGGCTCCTTCACCCCACTGACCCTCCCCTGTGAAGGCAATCAGGCCGAAACTCACGTCCGCCCCTTCCCTTCCGATCGTCGCGTCCCGGCCCGGGCCCCGCGGCGTCCCGCGCGCGTCCTTCGCCGACCTGGAGACCCCTGACCGTCAGCACCAAGGAAGCGCGGGAGACAAAGCCCAGGACTCCCGTTCAGAGACCCGGGGGCAGCGCAGAGCCGGCCTCTGGCCGCCCGCCCGCCGCCGCGCTCCGCCGGGCAGCCGAGGGCTCCGCGCGCCGCGCCTCTGGCCCGCGCTGCCCCGGCCGCCGCCGCCGGGAACATCCTCCGCCTCCTCCCGCTCCTCCCCTCGCGCACTGCGCCCGCCGCCGCCGCCGGCACCGCCGACCTCCCCGCGCCGCTGGCGCCGGGTGCCCGCGCTCCCAATTGGCCCTCGCGCGGTCGCTCCGCGCCACAGCCAATAGCCGCCGCCGGCGGGGGCGGCGCCTACGGGTCAGGCAGCCAAAGGCGAGGCGATTGTTGACAAACTCGCCTCCGAAGGCGGCCCCGGCCGCGACCGCGGCGGGAGTCTCGCGGACCCGAGCTGCCCCGGCTCCCCCAGCCCGCCCCGCCTCTGTGTCCGCCGGACGCCGCGCGAGCCTCGGCGGCTCCCACCGCCCCAAGTGGCTGGTCACCTCGAGACAAAGCAGGAATCTCGCTGTCTCTGCACCCGCAGGGCCGTCCTCCGACCCCAGTCCGGGTGGGCTGAAGACCCAAAGGCCGTCCCTTCCCTTAGCTGTAGCACCCACCTTCCTCCACAAATTCCTCCTTTTTTCTCCCCGTACGCAGCGGACACGCTCCAAATCTAAGCGGCCACCCCTGGCCACGGGAACGCACAACTGCGCGCACCCGTGACCACCGCAGACAACCAACACATCCACACCCCTGTCCCCCGCGGCCGACGGGTCTTCCATTACTAGCACGAACACCGAGTAACAGGTCCCCGAGGGCACCGCACCGCCCGCCAGCACCGAGAGGGAGTCGGGGTGCCCAAGTCTCTACGACAGCCCGGCCCCACGGATGGTGCATGTTCTCCTTCCCGAGGCTCGTCCACCGCGTGTCCCCGGCAGTCGGAGGAGGCCCTCGGACTCTGGCTGTCTATGGATCGTGCTGCTGGTATCGTCTGCAGCGCACCCGCAGCCCGAGAGAGCGAACGCAGCAGCTGCCCTAAAACCTCGGCCTGAATGGGTACAAGGAAAACGAGTCTCGTCAAATAACCACCGCAGTTCCGCAAATCCTCCGCAACAGGCCCGAGCACCCGAGAAAAGCCAAGCCGCCAGACTAGCTTGTACCGCGCGGCCGCTACTTGGGGGTCTCCGGGACAGGGCGCCGAGACCTGCCGGCCGGCCGCGCAGCCCAGTATCGTGAAGCCGGGCCGCAGCTCCCGGGACAGCGCGGAGAGCACGCGTTGCCTTTCCCAGCTGACCCTGAGAAGCTTTTCCACTCCTTCGCGCGGAATCCCGGGCCGAACCGCACGTCGCCAAGTGCCGTTAGCCTTTGCACGGACGACCCCTCACCAAACTGGACTTGCGCGAGGGAGGGAACCCGACCCGCCTGATCGCTGCCTCCCGCCCAGCGACAAGTGGGACGGGTACGTGCATCTCTTGCCTGCACGTGCTCGGGAAGGGAACAGGAGGTGGAGCCGAGATGGCTCCGGCGCTTGTCTTCCGTCGGCACCCGGCCCGCTCCCGGGGATTCGGAGGTATTTACCTTGCGTTTCTCAGTCCGAGAGTCAGAGTCAGACATTGGGGGGACCAGGGCCAGGGAAAGGGCGCCGAGGGGGTGGCGGCGGGAGCGGGGCGAAGCGAGCAGCCCGCGGCGATGCTGGCCGCAGTTGGGCTGGGGCGCGCAGGGTGACTGTGAGAGTCCGGTGGCAGTGGTGGCGGCGGCGACGCAAGACGGAGCGGTTTCACAAGACCACGACCTGGAGGCTGCGCGGAGCGAAGTGAAACCTGCACAGCCCTGCAGCTCAACTCAGACTGGCGGCCCAGGGCCCTCACCCAATCACCGCGAGCTCCGCCCCCTCTAAGTCCCGCCCCGGCGCGCGGGCAAGCACGCCCCGCCCTGCCGCGGCGTAGCCGCAGCCGCTGGCGCTTTCAGGCTCGAACAGGTAAAGGCGGGGGTGGCCCGGCCGGGTTCCCCCGCGCGCGCCGCGGGCCCTGCCCCAGCTGAGCGTGTTGACTGGAGTGACTAGTGCTGCTGGTGGCTTGTGCGCACCCACTCCTCTCCCCCCGCCCCAAAGTGTACCCTTGCCTCTCCCCCATCCAGCAGGGGCCACTGCATGCGCTTGGAACAGAGGGGGCGCTCCGGGCACACTGAACCAGGCCGAGCGGCCGCCGCCTGCGGAAAGCCTCAGGAGGCGCCTCTGAGCCCTTGATCGGCTTCGGGAATTTCTCAGCCGCTCTGGGGCAGGCGTGGGGACTGGGTTGATCCTCAAGAACGCCTGGGTCCAAGGTTGGGCAGCGAGTGTCGGAGCTTTCCTCTCTCCCAGATTCTGGGGTACTGGGTGAGACCCCGATGTGCAGGGCTGCTCATCCTCTTCCTCCGCCCTCGCCTCACGCGGTAGTCTTAGGCGCCCTCCTCATGCCACCTGGCAGGGGCACCTAGCTTTTCTGCCGCGCCGAGCCTCCGGTAGGAGGCCGAGCCCTTAGTGGGGAGAGTGGAGAAAAAGGCAAGAAGTGGATCCCCGGAGGCGTCTGTTCCGCAGCTCCGGTACGAGGCAGGAAGGGATTGCGTGCGGAGCAGGTAAAATAAGGAAATGAAAAAAGAACTCGAAAAAAAAAAAAAAAGACCCAGAGGAATCTCGGCCTTCAGGTGGGAGAGAAGATGATACCTCCGCTGGGTCGGGATCCTAGACATTGGTTAGGCTTTCAGAGAACCACCCGCGAGGCGCTCTGAGGCCAGTGAAGGCGCGCGCGCGCAGGGGAGTGGTGTGGGGAGCGAAGTACCCCCCCACTCCTTCTCCCTGCGCGCCCCCACCCCCTTTCTCCTTGGTGCCCGCGGCCTCACTCCCACTCCTGCTCCGGGGACTGGTACTCCTCTGGGTCGGCATCCTCATGTGTTCTAATGTGGGTCCTAAGTCCCCACCCTTACCTCCTCCTGCGCTCCCCTGGCTAGGAGACAGCCGGGGCCAGGGAGTGGGGGCAAGGTCGGTCGGGAGATGGAACATCCTGTCACGGGGGAGAGCTGGTTAGATGGAATAAAGAAACCCAAGTTAAGGATCCCCTAAAGTCCCTCCCTCCCAGGAACCAAGAAGGAAGGGTCCTCAGTTGCAGAGGAGCAAATCAGCGAGGCGTTGTTCCGCTCTTGGCCACCTCGGTCAGTGTTTTATGCTGCATAAGCAGGTATGGAACGTCGGGAAGACAGCACAGCCCCTGGTTAAACAATTCTCAGCGCATCCTCTGGCGAGTCCTGAGCGAAGTGTAGGAGGCCGGGGGTTCCTGGGGCGACTCAAGGACGGACGCCGGGTTCTGCCCCGGGATTTCGTTGCAGGAGGGGAAGGACAAGGGCGTGGACGCGGCGAAGTGCACGCTGAGACTGGATGTCTACCCTGACGGTGTCTCGGAGCGGTTGCCCTCGACCTTAGGTGGGCACGGGCGAACTCTAAGCCTTAGCTGCCCGGCCTAGCACCCGGCGGGAAAACAACAGAACGGCACCGGCTGGGAGCCCCCAACCCGCCCAAGTGCTCCGAGCTCTCCGTGGGGTTGGGCGATGCAGACAGGGACAGGAAAAGAACCACGCAGAAGAAAACCCTAGTGGTTGTCATCTGGTCTTGTGCAGCTCCGCCGCCCCCGCGTCGTCTGCTTTAGCGACCCTGTGAACACTTTAAAAAACAAAGGCGTCAGGGACAGCAACCGGTTAAGCACTCTTATTTTGGGGCACAAGGAGGAGGTCGGCTCGGAGTCAGGCAACCCAAGCGGTGCTGGGGAGCTTTCGCAGAGCTCTCCGCGGCGGGTGACCTCTAGCCCTTCCCGCCCTCTCCCGCAGGGTCCGGAGGTCCTCTGGGCCCCATCCCGGGCCACAGCCCAGAAAAGGGACAGTGTGAAAAGGGCGGTTGGGCGTTAGGTCTCCGGTCCTGGATGTCGCCCTCACGGACTCGAGCAGAACTGTGCTCACTCCTGCCTCTGCCACGAGATGTGGAGCGGGAGTAAGGAGGATGGCTGGGGCTGAGAGAAAGGTGCAAAACTGAAGTGGGGCAATCGGGATCTGAGAAATGCGAGGGGAAATCTACGGCCCTCGCCTGGGACCACAGGCGTTGCCTGCGTGGTCTCTCCGAGTTCCGAAATCAGCTTACTGCGGTGTGCTGCCCTAGCCCGCCTTCCCATCGGCAAGGAGCCGGAGCGCCTTCCCATCAATTAATGTCTTTATTAAACTTTGTTATCTATGCTCTTCTAAAGAACAGATTACAATTTCATATGGTAAAAGTATTTTCCGCACCTTGTCTTACGGTCCGGAAGCCGCCTGCCTGGGAGGACAACCCGGAGTTCGCGCTCTGCCGAGAGCAAAACTCCAGGCGCACACTCCCCTTTCCCAGTCTGTGCGTTTCCTCTAACACCCCAAGGGGTTCTGATTCACTGGAGAAGCATCGCTTGAACTGAAACTTTGCCCGCGAGTGTTTGATTTTTATGCTTTGATTTTTTTTTTTCCACGCAGCACCAATGCTTTTTCCAAAATCACTGTAAATCTGAGTCATCGCTGACCGCGGGAGACCTTTGGTGGCACCCGTGTGTGGGGCGCGTTCGCAGGGGAGTCCAATGTCTAGGGAGATCCAGCGCGGAAGCTGGGAAAGGTTGCTGCAGGCAGGCGGGGTTACATAATAAAGCCCCGTGTTCCGGGCTGCCGCCTGGCTCCCTTTCCCAACAGCCCATCCCGCGTCTCGCCAGCCTCAGTGAGAACCCTGCCTGCTCTGCGACCCAAATCCCCGAGGGCCGAGGCCCAGCGCATGCCAGGCCGGCCTTGGCCCCAGTTCCAGGCGTCAGAGAAGCTGGTGTCGTGGCAGCTGCGAGCGAGCCACCACCCTTCGCACCACGCCCGCTATAACTTGGCTTCCAGCTTGGGCGGCTGAAAGCGCGCCCCTTCTCGGGGCTCGGGTTGCAGCGGTGCTGGGTAGAAGGCCCAGGCGGCCTGCGCGTTGGTGATTCCTGCGATTGGTGCGTGGAGGGAGGTGTGTGGAATGTTAAAGGCAGAGATCACCTTCAGGGCATCATCCTTCACCGAGTCGCACAAATCCAGCAACTGCAAAACAACACAAAGTGACAGGTCAGATGCTGGCTCACTTACAGCGTGGGGCGTCATTGGCTTTGCGCCAACTCCCAAGCACCCCACAGGTAGCCACTGGGGAAACTAGTTTCCCTTTGGATTTCCTGGGACCCAGGTGGGTGGAGGCCGTTGGTCTTGAATAACCTTCACATACCTTATCATCTTAGAAATGCCTAAACCTGTGACACCTGTCTGGCAGAAGCCCGTTTCTTCCAAACAGGGTTGGGTCCGGCTCCAAATTAGATGGAAATCTCAAGACCGAGGACTGTGAGAATTTATCAACATTCCCCTTACCGGCCCTGCCCTCCCCTCTCCAGTCCCCATCATTTTCCGCCTCTTCACCTCTGGAGTGCCTGGGGTGCCACCCTCTGGCGTGCAGAGGTAACTGAACAGGAAGAGCATCAGACAGGTGAACCAGTGGAGACATGCCCCAGTTCTCCCCAGACTAGCGCCTTCCCACCTCTGGCAGCAGGCCATGGTTCCTGAAATGCACGCACAGTGGGACTGGGGATACTGAGACCAAGCACTGGCATCTCTGTGCACCTTTCACTTACAGGAAATCAACCTGCAGTTAAAGAGAACACCAAGGAACCCGGCAGATACCCTCCTGTGTTTTGATAACCATTGGAGGGCACAGATAAGACATCTCAGCAGAAGGGTGGGGGAGACATAAGCTAGTGATTTTGGAGAAGGTGCGTTGGGTGTATTTGAATTTCATTTTCCGTGGTTTAGATGCCCATGCATTTTTTTTTATTCCCAGAGGAAAAAAAAAAGCTACCAAAAATAATAGATTGTTTTTTCTAAAACTCAACAAGGACAAGACAGAGGGACTGCTTTCCTTTCCCATAACCAGCTGCACACTATTTTTCAAGTTTTCAGCCAGCCATAAATTTCTTTCACTCACTAAATCACAGCCCCCAGGTTTTCATGGTTTATTTTTATGGTCTTAAAAACATCACTTAACAACAGCCCCACCTTTGCTGCCCTCACGGTGGTGGTCATTACTGAGCTACACTAAAGCTGTAAAGAGCACAGTTCCTTTAAATTAGACCAAAATGCCATTTCAGGTATTCAGAGACGATGGGGGGTCCCCAAAACAGGGGCTGGTGTAGGGTAGGGGAAGAGCATGAATTTTAATAGTCTAACAACACATCTTCCTTTAAATGTGCTCTATTACATCAGTAATTTCTAATGAAAACCTTCATTCTTTACACACTGTGGTTAAGCGTCATAAAATCAGTAGTGAAAAGACTTTGATCATATTTGCAAGGTGCACTATGATGAACTTTCACTGACCAAGATTTCAAAGTTTGTAATTAATACTCGACAAATCCCTGACTAATCTGTCAACTCTCAAGGTCTTTAACTACACACTTCAAAACCATGAGATGGTGTACAAGTCCTTAAAGCTTCTACATATTGTCATTTCATTATTCAAGATAACTTTCCCTTTAGGTTTGCATCATGAAACTCAACCAATTTTTGTCATATATTCAACAATGGCGGAGATTCAGTTATTTGAATGAGCGTTATGTGGAAGAGAATGTGGGTTTGGTCTGTCCAAACACAGAACAAGCACCCAGAGATAGAAATTGCAGGAGGCAGAGTTCTGTTCAATATTTTTACAACTTGACAAATAAGCATAAAGTAGATTTTTAAAAAAGGAGCCAATGGCAGAAGAAGAAGAAGAGGATTTCCTTTCTCGTAAGTGTTCAGGGAGTGACCCTTTCCCATGACACTCTAAAGAGGAATGCTGCATGGAAGGGGAAAGCCACGCGTTGACTGCGAAGATTTGTAATCTTAAAATTCTGACGCTGTCTCAAATACTCTGTGCTTACTCCATTTGTGACAGGCTGCAGCAGGCCGATTAGTGTCCAGGTCCAAGGATCATGCATCACTCCTTATATGTAACAAGTTTGACTCTGATTCCAGGTGTTCTCTCACCTCTGCCTGTGAGGATGATCATTATTATTACTGTCTTTCACTTACAAAGTGCAGTACATACTGGATTCCTATCCTATGGTACAGATTGTGCTGGGCATGGGAGATTTAGTGATGTACACTGTGGACATAGGCCTCCTGTATCAAGGAGATGATGTTAAGAATTTTAAAGACTTTACAAACAGGATCCTCTTAATACCAAATAAACTTAGGTAGCTATCATAGAATTTATTATCATGTATACAGTAATTTTTCTTTTTTAACCAGGGAGCCCCATAGGATGAAGCAAAGCACAGGCAGACCTCAGAGAGATTGCAGGTTCAGTTCCAGACCATGACTATGAAGCAAATATTGCAATAAAATGAGTCAAAGGAACTTTTTGGTTTCCCAATGCATCCAAAAATTATGTTTACACTACAGTGTAGTCTGTTGAGTGTGTGTTGGCATTATGTCTCAAAAGCAATGTACATACATTAATTAAAAAATAGTTTGTTGATAAAAAATGTTAACCATCATCTGAGCTTTCAGCTAGTCATACTCACTGATCACAGATCACCATAACAAATATAATAATGAAAAAGTTTGAGATATTACGAGAATTACCAAAATGTGACACAAAGTGAGAAAATGCTGTTGGAAAAATGGCATCGATAGATTTGCTTAACACTGGGTTGTCACAAACCTTCAATTTGTAAAAAATGCATTATCTAGGAAGCACAATAAAACAACGTATGGCTGTACTATTAAATTTTAGTTTTATTACCAAACATATACCCACATAATATTAGCACAAAAACGGTGCATATTGTAGCCTCCCCCTCGCCCCCCACCCCCGCCCCATTTTGCCAGTATGTGACCCAACTGTGCTGGACAAAGCATCCCAAGCCCACCCATCCCATAACAAAGAAAACTCATCAGCTTTGGAGGATACACCAATGAATAGGTGCCCTTTAAAAATAAAAGAGCATGAACAAAGTTACACATTCTTACAGAAAAATTTTATTATAGAAAAATTTTAAAGGACAGACGCAAAGCATTGGCAGTATTGCTCTAAAAATAATAAGGACATAAGATCCACTAGAACTATCCAGGGAGTGGGATTTGAGAATGTCTACTTGGAAGAAAGTGGACGCACTCAACACTCAAGGGACAGTGGGTGGACAGGTTAGTATGTGGATTTTCCGGGGTAAATTTATAACATCAATTTGGCTTCCCCGCCCCCACCTAGTTACAGCAGGTTCTCTCTCTCTTTTTTTCCCTCTTTATCATCCCAGCATTATCCTTATTTCAGTGGGGAGACTAGGATGGTCTAGAATGGGCATTATCTAAGCTTTACAGCCTTCTAAACAAAACCTGCTTTTCCTTGTGTTGGTGTTAAGTATTCAATAGATGCCACAGGTGTGAGGTGTCCAGTGAACTTGCAGCCACACCCCAGTATTCCTAAGACCCTGTGCAGAAGGTTTTCCTGACTCTTCCCATGTTCCCCACCTCTGTTCCCAGCACCAGGGGACCTCCTGCTGTTCTCTGGGTCAAATCCCTTACCCCAACTTGACATGTCTCTCAATTAGCCCCTTTCTTGCTTGGGCATTGCGATGAGTCTTTTTCTCCATCCCTTGAATCTGGGCTGCCTTGTGACTTGTCTTGACCAATACAATGTGGAGAAGGTGACACTGTGTAAATTCCAGAGCTTAGGTCTCAAGAAGCCTTGCCATGCCGGTTCTTGCTTCCTGGAACCTTGGGACCACTTGCTGTGTGGGTCTGGCCTGCTGGAGGATGCCCAAGGCCACGTAGAGAAGGACCACATGGTCAGCAGCCAGGCTCACTCTCAGATATGTGAGTAAGGCCATGTAGGACCCCCGAGTCCTTTTGAATTCGAATGGCTGCAACCACAGGAGTGATCCTACCAAGGACTAGCCAGCGAATGGCCCAGATTGTCTACCCACAGAATTGCAAGATACACACTATTGCTTTTTTATGCCACTAAGATTTAGGGTGATATGTTACATGGCAATAGGTAACTAAAACAGTTTAATTTAAAATTGAATTTAAAATTCAAATTGCCATTCACAAGGTCATCTTCAGCTATACTTCTACCCTCTTAATTATCTGAGGACAATTCTACAATTACACAATTAAAGCGGTTAACAGGTGTGGCTCACTGATAGGCTTTACTGAAAGAATTTCAGTTGTAGAAGAGTAGTTTATTATAAAGCCAATGACTGTCCAGTTGGTGGGGTATCTGGGAGAGAATTTGAATGGCAGGCTGGAAGTCTCACTGCAATCCACCACCCACCGCACTTTCCTAATCTGGTTTAGAAGGCAAATCACCAGGACTTGCCTTATAACTACCTGCCCTGCCTTCATCATCTCTACAGGGGGCTTTAGCTTCCAATAAAAATACTCAGTAACATCAAAGTGTCAAGGATGGGGGGGAAAGGCAGAAAATATTTGCAACTGGGGATTCCAAGTCTTGTAAATGTTTAGGTTCTCCTGCACCATCAGAAGAGAGAAACAGGGGCGCCTGGGTGGCTCAGATGGTTACATGCCTGCCTTCGGCTCAGGTCATGATCCCAGGGTCCTGGGATCAAGTCCCGCATCGGGCTCCTTGCTCAGCAGGGAGTCTGCTTCTCCCTCTCCCTCTGCCTCTCCCCCTGCTTGTGCTCTCTCTGTCTCTCTCGCAAATGAATAAATAAAATCTTTAAAAAAAAAAAAAGAGAGAGAAACAGATGGGTCCTGGTCAGACCTAACCAGAGTCAGCTGGTGTGATGGAATGGACTGGCACATATCTATCACTTTACTTCGTGGGACTGTAGTGTTTCCCTGCTCCCAGAGATTTCTCAAATAAGGAAGTCCGACAGGGGTTCATCTCCAAGGCATGGAGTCTGTCTACTATAAAGTGTGGGTTAGAGGTCTGACCTCAAAATAGTTGGGAGGATGCAGTGAGGTAATTATGTGAAGGCCACACCGTAAACTGCAAAAGGCAGCAAAATAGAGTTGTTGGCTCTTGATCCCCCAAATACCATCATTAGGGCCTT